CCTCAAAGTCCTGGAGAGGCCGTACGCAGACCCTGACCCTTTGTGTGGTGGTGAACTGGAGCCCAAACTGAGAGCGTTCACGGACTCCTACGACGCTAAGCCTCCCGCATGGGCAAAAAGTATTTGCATCACCTGATCCACGTAGGCGCTCCTGGGCAGCTGAAGAAAAGAGGTCTGTTTTTCAGTGATGGGTCAATAGTAAATCAAAACTGTGTTGTTGTTTTTTTTCGTGAAGGACTATGCAGTTTTCTTACCATCGCTATTGTCTATTTCCATTTCAGGCTTTTTCTTCTGTTGCCAGCAGGGAGGATGTTACATAGTGTGTTCCTGAGTTCATTGGCACAGGACGGCAGTCTGTCATTGGCGTCGTCTTAAGTTTCTTTATTTCAGAGAGTAAAAGTGTCTAATCTGAGTCTAAATTCACCAAAACCTCCTCATACAAATAGGCTGATTATTTCCTGTTTATTTCATGACGAGGAATTAAGGCAAACGCATTTAATTGGTGGCGTTTACACTTGTAAATGCCACATTGACACACTGTAGTTTGAGGTATAAACCAGATAAAGCGGTTGCACTCGCCGTATGTATTGCTGATGATTCATGACGGCCCAGACAACAAGTTACTCAGTGACCTGTCTGGGCCTGAAACTACAGGGACGCACCATTAGGAATCATTTAGGGGTCAGTAGATTTATAGCTGTAGTGTATTTTGAGTAGTCCACAATCGGAAGACACAGGCGGTTTACAATTCTTTCTAGATATAATTTACAATTCCTTCTAGATATGGAATGATTGGTAATATATCTCTTTAACAAATGTTCAATTTTTCCAATAAAAGATGAACACCTTGTTATGAAATCAATCATGCCTGGAAGTCCCTCATTTGAATGTGAATTCCCCTGATTTCCTAAGAGATGTAAACAGCTATATTTTTTTACGAGATAGCAACAACTGACAAGAAACCCCCGTTTTATCTCTGTTGGAGAGGTGTTAGGATTCCTCCCAAGGGATGAGAACCTGTGTGGTGCCAAATGACTAAGAAATGTATCAGAATTTGACATCAAAGTTTATGGTTTCATACAGGATACCCATGTATTTGTTGTAGCTTCTTAAATTGTATGAAATGGCAGAATAAGGCTCAACTCTAGCACACATTACAGTGATAGCAAAATGCTTGACAGTCTTATTTTCCAACACTTTCATCCTCCCCACTACCAGCTAAGACAATGTTGGTATGCTATTTTTAGAGATAGTCGTGTACTCAAACTGGGCCAGTTATCAACAAATCAAACCATAGACATAGATGTAACAGAAGTTGCTAAGTAGATTTCTCAGTCAAACATCATCTGCTTGAAAACATCATTTGATAAAGACATAGAACAGTATTAAAAGCTTCTCGTTTCAGAATCCAAGCTCACTTTATAACTGCCGGTAAGCATTTGTTGTGAGCAGCCAAGCCAAGGAGCACATTGAACGCAGCATGATTTGAATGGTTAGATCCACAAAGACAGATTTTTATCTCATCAGTATAGTATAGTCTGGTCCAAGTTGTTTTCTCTTTTCTTTTCAATATATAGAAGTTTGAGGTAAAGCGAGGTCTGACATTTGACTTCCGATAATCATGTACGGGTAATCATTCACAGTGTGTGGCCAGCCCTTTGACATATTGTCGAGTCGAGCTCTGTTTTTATGATGATGTTTTATGATGATGTTTAGCAGTAAAAACTGATGCATCTCAGTGGAAACACAAAAAGCATTTAATTTCTTAGCATCGGTTTGTTTGGTCACCGAAACAAGGACTGAGTCACAGTTCGTCAATATTACATTTTCCACAACCACCTATGGTAATGTTCACCGGCTGTTCTTGAAGGCAAACAAATACTTACATATATGTTCTTCTCACTAGCAAAAACTGTGATTTCGAGTTACTTTTTGGTTTCTGGGTACAAGGCTAACTGATAGCTGACTGATAATTTTGACTTTGCGACATGGTCTCCACACAGGGGGCCTGAAAATGAATTCCCAACTGTCCTGCAGACAGTTAACTCAGCTTTGGAGAACCTGTGTGAAATCTTACACACATATTTGCAAGTCAATTTTAGCAGCCACAACATTGACTGTCAGATTTTGTATTATTCCTTCAATGTCTTATGTCCCTTGTGTTCAAAAGTACTTTCTTAATGATTTTTTTACAAGAGGGATTTCAACGAAGGTCTATAAAAATAAGATATCAGAAGGAAGGAAAGATTGACTGTATAGCAAGGAGGCAGGGGAATTTTCTATCTCAGTAGATAGCTGTAGGAGCTCAGTGTAGGCGTGGTGAAGACGGCCACACCAGCTTTAATGACTTAAAACTGCCAGTCTTGCCATACAAGAACCTTGTCTGTGGATTTACACACACAAGGAAAGCGGCTATGGGTTCCATTGCAGAACTGCTCCTAGCTACTTTCAGTGATCTGATTGATGACGACCTCAGGATTTTTCAGTTTTTCCTATACAGTAGTGATGTTGAGGGATACGAGCGTATTCCAAAAGCAAGGGCTTCCGGGCTGGACCGGGTAGCTACTGTGGAACTCCTGGTGCAGACGTATGGCAAGAAAGGGGCTTTTACCGTCACTGTGGAGATACTGAAAAAGATGAACTTCAGACAGCTGGCCCAAGACCTTCAACAAAAGTGTTGTGAAGGTAAAGGGAGTTGAAAAAATCCTGAAAGATTGTAGTTAACCGGTTCGCAAGAGTAAACATCGTTTTGTTTTTTCTATTCAGGTGCCGGCAATCAAGCCAATGAAGGTAAGATGATAACCGAAACAAACCTATGCACACAGTTTGTTACAAAGGTCAACCCCATTTGGCGTAATCAAATGTAAACTTTATGTGTTTAGCTGAGTCGGACGACAACGCAACCGGACAGGAGACGAAATTCACGGTGAAGGAAGAGTTCCACGTCTATAAGGAAGTGGACGAAGGAGAGACCGTCTACAGGGATGCACTCTACATACAGCACAGTTTGACTAAAGCAGCCTGTGGATGCCTAACTGAGGAGTATGAGCTCACGCAAACAAAGCTCAAGAGCGTTACAACTGAAAAAAACTTTAAAGACGTTTCCAAACCAGAGTGCAACGGCGAGAGGTTGGTGACATTTGTGAAAAAGAACGCCACACCGGCTAAAGATCGTGACGAATCGGTATGCTGACCCTTCGCATTTTACTGGATCTGATTCAGAGGTACGAACACAGCTCGTTCATCTTCTGCTGCAGGAGAAGAACACTTCACTGATGGACTGTTTCTACTTCCACTCAAGAGACACATATATTTATGCTCTTACTTTAGGATTAGAGCTGTGTTTACTGTGTGTTAAGCATGTGGACTATCCACACAACCTCAGGTGTGGGTGTATTATACCTACACAGTAAAGAAAGACAAAATGTAACTGGGGCTGTCGGATCACCTTTAACAGTTTCCTTTCCATACATAGAAGGAAAAGGTTGACCAGAGAAAACAATCTATGTGACGAAGAAGTGTCGTAGGAAAGAAATTGTGAAAAAAAATGGATGCAATGGCTTAAGGGGGCTTATAGGAGGTGTCATGTAAAGGTATAAAAAGCATACCAAAGCCCAGTTTGGAGGTATATTGAAAGCATCCCTTGCATCTCATGAGATATATTCATCTCTTTTAACTTTTACATGACATGCCCAAAGGGATGATGTGATGGGCAGAGTGTTCAGATTTCTGAGATCTAACAGACAATGAACTGTCTGGGCCTAAAATACCCGTAGATAGTGTCAACAGAAAAAATAACTAACATTTCTTCTGAACATGACATGAATAGATGACAAAAGTTCATAAAACATTACGTCATGAGATTCCACCGTTATAAAGAAAAAATGCCTAAAAAATTCCCCTAGAGGTATAAACAGCAGTGGAAAGGAGTTTTATGACAAACAGAAGGTGACATATGACAAGAAGGTTATCAGGTTTCGACTGATGAGCAGTGTATCCAGAAAACAAGTTCCTGATTGTGATATTTGGTTGACGGTAGCAGTTAGTATTATGTAACGGAATGACTTGAAATCTTCTGTGAATGTCTGCAAATTAAGTTATTTATATACAAATACATTAAGAGTTTTCCTTCACTTTGACATTTGTTTCTTATAGTATTATTAAACCTATTTATTTATAACAATGGCTAACTTTGCACTGAAGAACATTATTTATTTATTCATATAAAATGCCACTTCAAAGAGATTTTTAGAAATGGACCTGCAGTGATTTTTAAAACTTGACCGTAATCAGTGTGAAAAACGAGAACAGGATTTCAGGTCTTATCTATTCCATTCACATTTATCTATTTGAACGCAAATAAAATCACACCCACTCACCACCATGTTTACTGGACCTGCTGAACTTCTTCCTTGATGCAACAATACATCTACACAAATGACTCATAGGGGCAGGAAGGCTGAATTTCTGGTAAAAGAGGGGTGTGTAACCAAAACAGTTTGACCTTATTGCAAGGAGGGATTATGACTACACCAGCCTCCTAATCAATACTGAAACATTTCCTGAAAGAAAAACTATTTTAAACTATGGAAGAGCAAGTTGATGAGGATCTCAATCCTTAAAGGATTCCAGCATACAATTTACATGGTCAAGATTTTGAGACGTTTTGCTCTGTAATAAGAAGTGAGAATTGTAAACTAAGAATATCTCTATTGCTAAATCAAAATCCAACCATTAACAAATTAATAAATTAAAGAAATCATCCAAGTTAATAGATTTAAGAAAATACCTTTCAACAAAAGAATTTAATTTACCATTTATGTTTCATGGTCCAAGGTCCTTTTTCTTACCCCCATCATGAACTATCATTCCATCCAGAGGCGTGGGACACCCTGGACAGGTCCATTTAAAATAAAAGTGGCTCTTAATTTTATAATAAATGTTCATTATGATATTTTTGTTACAGCTTGTTTCACAATGCTAAATAATTTTTATATGAATTCAGTGTTACCTGAAATCAACACTGAAAAATCGTAAGTTAATTACAACCTTTGTGCTAATAAAATGTTATTAACCAAAGATTTATTTGATATTCACAGGCATTCTTGCAAGGCAAAATGTTTCCTATACCACTTTCCATGTTTGTGATATCTTTTTGTTTTTAATATGTATGCAAAGTTACCAAGGCTGCACAATATCACTGCTCTACCACTAAACTTATTGGAGCTTTGTTGCCAACAATTTTGACCTGTTATTCATTTTCACTGTAACAAATCTCTTTCCCTCTATATATATACTGTAAAAGTATATGTACAATATCCATATATATTATATAAGTTATAATATAGACATTTATAAGGATATGGTATGGACATACGTGGTTAAAGAGACTATTTTCTGCAAATTGTATCTACATGTGTATTTTTTGTAAGGTGTTGTTCTACTCCCTAAAACAATCTCTGTGGAGATTTGATGATAAATAAATAATTTAATTGAGTCAGGCGTGCTGAGTGGGTCTCCAGGGCTGTAGGTGGGAAACACTGGCATACAGAACACTAACATTACATGTAAAAACTTATTTCACCATAAACATATTACTTTGTTATCACAGCAAAGCCTTTTGCCATATAGGAGTGGTATGCTGATGAAATTGAATTTAGAGGGAGCACTATGTCGTTTCATAATTTTTCCAACAGGTGGCACAATTTCATAAAAGTTGAAAGCATGATTTTTTTATCTTGTCTTAAGAAGGCTCTTTCTTTTATGTAAATACCTATAAGGACTGGACTGGTGGTACACTGCTGTGCACCCTTATGGCTTCAAACACCCTCACACATTTGAAAAAGAAGCCTCTCTACCCTGGTTTTGGGGTGAAAAAAGAAGACTGTTCTGTTTTTATTTGTACAGGTTTGGACACATAAGAAATCATTTTACCAAAGGCTGATTCAGAAACAGAAATTAATCTAATAAGAACACAGAATAACAGCAATGATGGCCAAATTCATGTTTCATTACAGGATTTCTACATAATAATTCATGCTATTCATATCTTTAAAATGGTAAGCATCTCCTCCCCTACCGCTGAATCTGTCCTGGTGTCAAAAGGACACTTTGTTTGTTTCAGATGGGGATGTCGGAAGAGGAATTAATCTTATTTATATATAAGTAGCTTATTTTTTTGGGGGGTGATGTGCTCTCCAATGTCACTTGCTCAAAAAGAGACTTGTACAATTAGAATTGGAACACAACAACCGCTATTCAACAGATAATAGTATGGTTGTCAAGGTGAATGTCGTCCTTTCAGACCTCCCCCGCCAAAACAGAGCGAGATCAGTACATGTCTGTGCAGAACTTCCAAAAAGACAGAGGATTTTTTTAGGTATCTTAAAAAGTGATGCATTTAGAAATGTGGAGATGGAAATGTACTGAGACACCAGAACCAACTTCACCATCACCATGAATGTTTCCATTTTGATATCTTGCCTTTTCTCATTTATCTGTAAGAGCTTAACTATAAAATGTGTTATATTTAAATCGGTTTCAGACCTTTTCTCAAAACAAAAACTCCTCCTTCTGTTGACTGTCAAACTGTCAGAGACGGTGTCGAGAAACACTTGTCATGTGACCTACATCCAAAGTTTTAAACTCTGCTTTGGGCGTAAAATAAAAAAATTGTACACTTGGAAATTTCTGTTTTCAGTCCAGATTAAAAAACACAGAATGTCCTGTCCACAGGTTGTTAAAAACTGCACAGTTGCTTAGACTAAGCAGTAAAGAATGTAATCACGGGTGTTGGACCAAGAGCAGCTGTGGGAACAACCTTAATCATTTCTGATAAGAATGAATTCTGGCTGAATCCATGTGAAATACAATTCCTGTGTTCAGAACTTTTTCTAACTCTAACTAACAATGGACTTGATATGTCAACTCATAGTTGCATATGGAAATGCTGGTTTCTATCTTACCTTCATTATGAGATCAAATCTAGCTGTATGGCTACATATTATTCAGCTATTTACCTTTATTGCTAAAAAGGAGACAAAAGTAGCTGCCAGTTAGAGACCTAAAAGGCCTAGCATCAACTGTTACAGCAATGGTGGTAAACTACCAGAGACATTACAAAAAGTTGCCATACATCAACATCTTTTCATGTTTTCATGCATCCTATGAAGCCGATCAGCTCAACGAAGCCTCAGTATGCTGTCTGTTGTGGAAGTCTGAGACGTGTTTGCCAACCTCCGGTACTTCAGGGCTGATGTGTGGCAAGTTTGAGATGTTTCCCAGCTTCAACACACCTGATCCACATCAGGGAGCCTTTATCAGGCCTGTGCTGGAAGGAGACTGTAGAGGAAAGGCGTTTGACACCACTGGTATGAGAGTTAAGGCATTATAATGACAATAACTGGCAGCCAAACCATGAAGCAACTTAAAACAATCCTCCAAAATAGAATTCCTATAGAATTTCCTGATAACTTGACTTTAGGGATAACTGCAGTTTTTGAGTCTCTCCCTCCATACACTGTGGATAAATTAACCAAATTAAACACTGTATCGCCATAATTACCCCACCATACCCACCAAAGACTCAGGGAGCCCACATTTGTCTAATTCTTTGTTGCCTTTGAGAGAAACTGTTGCTTTTGCATGTGTGAGTAACTGTTTTAACGGGCTTTCACTTTGTGAACTGGCGGTGTTATTTTTTACAACCCTGCTATTCCATCTTGTTTGGATCGGCCACGGAATGCTGTTTACACAGCGAGGAGTGGCCAGATGGGAAAAGTCAGTAAAATGAGCGCTTCTAGTGCTTCCCAGGAATCATTTTGATGCATGTTTTTTTATCAGAAAGAGTGAAAGTCACTGTTTGTGTGTAGCACTAACTTTACGGCGTCTGACTCAGCAAAGAGTGACGACATTCATCGCAACCAGGAAGGAGGTGTGGTAGTTCAGACTGTGTAGAAAAAAGAGGCTGCTTCTGTTGTGGAGTTTGCACTTTGGGATTCAAAGATCGGCCAGCACGTAAGTACGTTTTGGAAGTGTGATACAAACTGTCAAGCTGTATTTTTAGTCTTTAGGCTTATGAAAGTATTTGAAAAGTAGATGAAAATATTACCTGATTTGTCATAGATCCTTGTGAGATGTAGGTTGAGTTTAAAGGTTTTCATTTAACAGTCCTTGTGGTCACACAGTCTTATTTATTTTTCTGTATTTTCAGTCTAATGCAATATAATCTGTCCGTTTTTGTAAATCATTGTAAAAAGTAAGCTATGTGTTTTCATTCTAAATTCATCCTGGTCAAGTTTTCTGATTTAAAAAAAAAAAATTCTTTAGATTTTTTAATTTATTCATTTATTGGGGGTTATTTTTCCAGCTCAAAATGAAGGATCTGCTCGGCTATCGTGGTCTCATATTGGCACTTCTTGTGTGCTTCTCAGATCAGGTAAAGTCTCCGTTTTAGCTGCTGTAAAATGGCGTTCTCGCACAATTTGAAGTCTCATTTTAAACACTGCTAAATTTTTCACATTTGTGTTGTTCTTCTAGAAAAGGTTTAAGAAAGTCTCATCAGGTAAAGGGGGATTCTATTTTGGGATGATTAATGATAAGATATGAAGATGCTTTATGTTTGCCAGTCAACTTTGTCTCTTTTCAGGAACGGACTGCACACAGATCAAGACTCTTTCACCAAACGCCCCCTCTGGGGTTTATGTGATCCAACCTGCTGGAGTCAAAACCCCTTTCAAGGTATCAAACATCCATATTTATCACTGATATTTTGACCATTTTGAGGAAATATTGTGCACTGTTGAATGGAGTTTTAAAGAACATGAGTAGATTTGATAAAAACGTGTGTGATGCGTATTATTCCAGATTATCCAAACCTTCTTCTTGGGTAAATTAAAGTATAATCTTGGAAATAGTGCTACAGAATTTCAAGGCTGTAAAATTAAATTGCTTACCTCACTAAAAAGAAAGCCGTAACAGAAGTAATATTGTGTCCATATTACTGGTTGAGTATATGGGTTGCTCTAGTTTTTTTTCTTTTCACATACAACAAACTGTTATTTTTCTAAATCTTCAATTTAATCAGTTTCGAATGACATAGATGAAATAACATAGAAAAACAAAAAAAATAAAATATAAATAATTATAAATAAATAACATTTTAAATTGAGCAAATTAATAGGTAATGGTGTCAAAATTTGGTATAAAAGGTGCAAATGGTAAAGATTTAGTCTCTCTTGGAAAGAATGAGTCACAGCTCACTACTTTATTTTGATCTCCCTTGAGGGAACTATAAGATTCATAGTTTTTAAAAGCAAAATTTTAGAACTTTGGTTAGTTAAGTGCAGAAAATGTGGCTCTTGGCCACAGTCCAGAGTTGAGCTTTTTGGGCCAGAATTAAATCCATGTCATATTGCCATCAAGGTGAGGGAATGTGTTTGTTTAGATGCATTTAGATGATGTCAATTCTCACACAACACTAATGACAATTGTGTATTTAAGGAGATGTGTTTTTGTTTTTTTTCCCGACGGTGTGTGAGGCAGTCATAATTTTGCCTCTGACAAAAATGCACACATGCAACAATTGGTCAGCTTTCAACACAAGCCAGAATTGTTCAGATGTTTTTCATCAAGACGTTTGTTAAAGGTATATGACGTATGTTTGCTGGACTTCCTGCTCAGGTGTACTGTGAGATGCTTCCAGATGGAGGCTGGACGGTGTTTCAGAGACGCAGTGGAGGGGCAGTGTCCTTCAACAAAAAATGGAACGCCTACAAAAATGGTTTTGGGAAGCTGAAAGGTATGGAAAGAACCTGGCCTGGAAGAAAAAGTTTTAACATCGGTGATCCTAAAAGGGCTAGTTCGATCTCAAATTCTTGGCTGGGAAACAAAAGAAAGTTTGCATATTTATTTTGAAAGGCACCAGAAAACCATAAATCCTTTTTGCTTTGTGTGTTCCAAATCTTTTAAGACGACCACTGGCTCGGCCTGAAGAAGGTTTTCGCTCTGACAAAGAAAACAACCAAGAACTGGACCTTGAGAGTGGACCTCTGGGATCATGAAGGTGGCACTGCTTTAGCTGAGTACAAGAACTTTAGGCTGGGAGATGAGAGAACGGCTTTCAAACTTCAGGTTGGAGAATACCGCGGCAACGCAGGTAAAGTGGCTTTAGCTGTTCGCTTTCAGTCAAACATGGAGACATACTGTCTCTGGTCTAAAGCCTTGATTGTTTTTGCTAATTTGAGGATTTTATTGTTCACTGATCGCACAGACTGACGTATATTATGTTTGCTCTGGACCATCAACCCTCTGTTCTAATGCAGCTTATTTTTTCAAGTTTTCTCTCAAATGTTTTTAACTCTTTCCAAAGGCGACGCCATCAGGGGTGCTTATCCTGGCATCGACCAGAATGGCTTTGGCTTCAGCACTATTGACCGAGACAACGATGGCTGCAACCCGTGCCTCTTTGGAGACATTCTTGAAAAAGACTGCGCCTCCTCTGAGGGAGGTGGCTGGTGGTACAGCAAATGTGGCTCTGCCAGTCTGAATGGAGACTGGCACCCGTCTGGTGACCACATTGGTTGGGCTTCCGGGGTCCACTGGCTCACCTGGAAAGGTCCCGCACCGTACTCTGCTAAGGCCAGCAGAATGATGATCAAGTCAGTGTGAGAGGAGTCAACGCCTGAGCTGACTTCTGTAGTTTTCGGCTACGCTTTTGGAAGAATCGTTTCCAAATATTCTGTTACATAAAAGTAAATGAGTATGATTGCAGTTTAAATGAATATTCCTTCTTTCTCCACGCGTGAGAGCTCTTTATCTCATGTGATTTTATTGTGAAATTCTTATATTTTTGAGCAGCACAAATAAAACTTGTCTTTAGGCTTTTTCTTGTGTGCCATGTGTCTGTTACAGAAGTGTTGGTGATACAATGAAAGAAAATGTCTAAAAAGTGGTTGCATCTCACAAATGGTGAACCTGACGGGTGATTGTGATTTGTCCACAAACAAAAATCACAATATCACGATTGATTCAGTAACTGTTTGAATCCGACTCCTCATTTGTTCCTCATTTGCTGACTTTTAATATAGAGAGATGTGTAGAAAATAGTTGTCACAACCATGAGAAGATTATCTTCAACCACTTGAATATAAATTTAACAACTTTGTCTAAAGTTCTTAAGTCATGTCTTAAATATGTTCTTTTAGGGCAGATATGAACTTAATTGTTTGATTCTACGTAGCTTTAATTGCTATCAGTAAAGACAGCATGGCTGAAGTATTTTTTTTCTTTTTTTTATTAGATTGGAGTACTTTAGTAATTCTCAACTGTTTGGAAACAAAATCAAACAAAATAACAAAATAAAACCCTTTCTGTCGATGTTGAAATACTCACAAGAGTAAAGCACATCAACCAAGTTTTTGTGCTACACAACTGACTACATAAACATTGGCACGCAATGGATGATGCATAATGCAAGTCAACTCTTTTTGCAAGTGTGGAAACATCATAGTGGGTCCATAGTCACAGAGAATGCTCTGTGCAGTGAATTGTCTTGAAATAAACAATCAAAAAGCAACGTTTAGAGAGAATGTTGTGCTAAACTACGTATTTAAAAAAGGTTGAGGCAGTGCTTGTATAAAAGTGAATTTAAGGTGTGGTGTAATTGCTCTCATTAAACACAAGGTGGAACATGGCCTGCATGACTCACCATAAGGACGAAGCATTGAAGAATCCTGTTGTTGTAGAAGAGACTTCAAGGCTTACAATTTGTCTAATGCTGTTTTCTGTACCAGAGGTTTCTCCCAACTAACAGAGTTTAACTAAATCAGACATTATATTATAATACCTGAGAGGTAAATAATGATACACGAAGATGTAACATTTCAATTTAATGTAATAATACAAACTTGACTACTGCTAATGTTTGTTACATGACTAAACTAGGAGATACCTAAAAAGAAAAAAATAACTTTATCCATTCCCCATTGGAGGAAATTACGATTTGAACATTAGTTTGAAGTAAAATTTCTCAAAATGAAGATTTCCAATTACATTTGTGTACACAGTAACATATTTTGTAACAGTTAGTCATTTCTGACAGAAAATTCAAGTGGAATTTTGTCTAGGCTAAGATCTTTAATTTACTGACTTATATAGTAAAAAGAAAGCATAATCAATAATTATTTCACCTTTCTTTGTCCTAACAAAGAAATGTTGCCAGTGACCATCATAAAATTATCCATTTTCTAATTGGGCTGCATGGTGGCCTCAAAACAAGAGTTTTCTGGGTCTCATTCATCTCTGGTGGTCTTGAGGTGGACTTGTGCCTGTCCAGGTGTACCCTGCCTCTCACCCTATGACCGCTGGGATAAACTCCAGTGCTCCCATAACCCCATTAGGGAATAAGCGGTTCCCAAAATGGATGGATGGATGTCGATTCAAGCAAGTGCTCGCAATTTAGCTTTAAAGCAGAAATACATCCAAGAAGTACACAAAATAAAAAGAAAGATTACCAAATCGTGATCTGCTTGATCATTTTCTCTTACGCAATTCATTTCAGGAGTTTTGCAAAGTACTTCATGTCAAGGTTCATAAAGTTAAACTGACACTCTCCTATATGAATATCAGTGAAGAGTCATTCATATTGTTTTGGTCCAATTGGCTTATTTTGCTTTAGTGTTTTGTTATTAAAACTTTCAATAAGTTGATTAAAAAAAACAAAAAAATATCTAGCTTTCTAAAACGTGACACTTAAAAAAAAGATTATTTGCTCATACAATGTCATGGGCTATCATCTTTAACATTCATCCTTTTAGGGGTGGTGGTGTGGTGGTTAGCACAGTTAAAAGGTTCTGGGTTGGAGTCCCCGGGGGAACCAGGAACTGTCTTTGTGGAGTCTGCATGTTCTCCCTGTGTCTGCATGGGTTCTCTCCAGGTTCTCTGGCTTCGTCCCACCGTCCAAAAACCTGCATGCTAGGTTGATTGGACATTCCAAACTGCCCTTAGGAGTGAGTGTGTGTGGTTGTTGGTCCTTGTGTGTCTCTGTGTGCATTGTTTTTTAACCAGCCAGGCAGGTTGTCTCACTTTAAGAAAACAATGTATTTTTTTCACTTGTTTTTAGAAACTAATACACCTCAAAATTTCACAATCATCTTGCTAAAAAAAAAGTGTTTTGCAAACTTAAATGTAATTTTTTCCTACCCCAAGCAAATAATTGTTTCAATCCAACCAGAAAATTAGAAGTGTCTAAGCAAAGCTTTTTCATTTTATTAAAAAAAGATTATTTTGGTTTCCAGTTCCAACCACTCTAAGATGCTTCCTCCAGTCAGAATAAGCACCATGGTTTATTCTGTATAGTTTGTTTAGGTGAGCCTTTACTTTGTGGCCTTGCTT